TCTGCAGTGGCACCTGCAGCGGCTTGGGCGTCCTCCATGGCGTACTCGTCGCCAACGTGCGCGTGCTTGCGGTGGCGCTGAAGCAGCACGTCTGGTGCTGCTTCAGGCCCCAGTCTGGCGTGCTTGCTGCCAGGGTGCTGCTGCTGCTGCTGCTGTTGCTGCTGCTGCTGCAGTTGGCCGGTGTCCTGTTGTGGCTGGACGGCTGACTGCCGCTGCCCTGTCAGCAGGTCAGCCGTCGGCTGATGCTGTGCCCCTGTCGCCTGCGGCTGGTCTGCTGCTGCAGGCTGCGGGGTGCCTTTGCCCGTTGTACGGGCCGGCGGGTGGTTGGGGCTGTGCTTGCGAGCGCCAGCAACGCGCCGCGTGTGCGGCCGCTGCTGAAGCCGTGCCAGTTCCAGCAGCTGCTGGTCATCGTCCTCCTCGGCTGCTGCCTGTTCAGCTGCTGCAGCTGAGGCAGCATCCGCACCTGCAGCAGCGTCTGTCACGGCTGCTGTTGCAGGCCCCGCTGCTGCCTCCACTGCCCCCTCTGCTGCTGAGCGGCGCATTCCAGGTGCTGGCACCTCAGCCGGCTGTGCTGCTGGCCATGCTGCTGGCTGCGCTGTTGTTGCGGTGGCTGGGGCTGGTGGCGGTGTTGTCGGGGCTGCTGTTGCTGCTGCTGTCGCTGTGGGAGCTGTCGCTGTTGCTGCTGCGCCAAGCGTTGGTGGCAGTGGGGTTGGTGCTGGTGCCTGGGCTGCCGCTGCTAGCCGTGCAGCTGTCAATGCCGCTGCTGCCTCTGCAGGGGTAGGGCCTGCCCTGGGGGGTGCTGCCGCTGCCGCCGCTGCTGCTGCTGCTGCCGCTGGTGCGTCTCTTGCCGTCCACAGCAGGTGCTGCTCCAGAGCTCTGCGCTGCGCTGCCGCAATTCGCTCCGCCCTGGACAGCGGCTGAGCCGGCTGTTCCCGCATGTGTAGGTCTCCAAACACCCCGTCAGCTGCATGCACTGTTGTTGCGCTAGCAGGGCGGTCACTGACAGCAGCAGCAAAGCACATGACGTTTTTGTAAACCTGCTCACCCTGCTTGGCGTAAGCTGCTGACATCACCTGCAGATCCTGGCTGTTGAGCATGGCCTTCAGCACGCTGACATCAGCGCCACGCACGCCCTCCAGGGTGAACGCGCGCACCTTCAGCTTGTTGAAGGCTGCAGACAGGCCAATGCCGGGCCTGTCTGGCACTGGCACCGTGGGGTGACAATAGAAAGTTCTGTCGGCGTAGCAGAAGAAGAACCCCCAGGGTTGTCAACCCCTGGTTGGGTATCCCGCTTTCCATGTTAATTCATGGAGTCAACCGACTACGTCGGCCGGAGGCAACGAATCCATTCCCCCTGTGTTTAACGGGACTCTTCTGCCGGCAATCCGGCAGCCCACCGCTGGTTCTTCTGTCGGGGTAAGGGGCAAACCTCCGAAATCCCCTTACCACCCAACTATGCCGCAACCGAGAATCGATCCGGGAACCGAATCGTCTGGGGAGGGCGACACAGGAGGGCCGGCCAAGTTTTTTTGCAGCCGCCGTTCCGACCCAGAATCGAACCTGGGACCTAACCCAGGCCCTGGTTGAGAGCCAGCCTCTCTAACCACTGAGCCACGTGTTTAACGTCCCGCCGGACGTTCTGTCGGCGTAGCCATTACTATATATATAGGCGTCTGCAACTCCTTAAGTAGGGCAAAATCCCCTAGATTGGCAAGCCATTTTGGGTCGCCTGTTACAGCTGGTAGCTGAGATAGGCTCTCGTAGCTCACTGGTTAGAGCGTTCCATTCGGAATCCTGGGTCACTCCTGGTGCGAGAGGTCACAGGTTCGAACCCGACTAGAGGCGCATTGCCCGGAGGTCAATACTTGGCCGGGGAGGCCTGTAACGGGAGGCTTGTGCCTCTATGCGTAGCCGTTACTATATATATAGGCGTCTGCAACTCCTTAAGTAGGGCAAAATCCCCTAGATTGGCAAGCCATTTTGGGTCGCCTGTTACAGCTTGGTAGCTCCTGTAACAGGACCTGTTACTATCCATGTATTGGATGATTAGACTAAGTGACTCATACGTTCGTATGAGGACACGCGGCAGTCAATGTGACATTGTACTGCCATGTTAGAACTACGCTGGCCTCGCAACGTAGGCGGTCTACAACAGCTTAAGCTGGGCCTCAGGCTTATCAATTGGTTAACAAACCTCTTTTCCATTACGCTTCCACACACGCATACTCGTAAGGCTGCTACATTTGGTAGCTGAGAACAAGTTGCGTCGTGACCTTTTGGTCTTTACGTTCATATTCATATTCACTGGATATTGACATTCTATTTGCCAATCTAATCATGTCAGATAATGCCAGCTTCTGACATCACGCTCTTTGAAGAGGCGCCAGACTGCATGCCTGTTGAGCAGTAGATTGTGTTGCGCCCTTTGGTTGTGTGCCGCACAGGGGCAGAGCAGTCTGAACAGTATGTTGAGTTCAGCAGAGGCCTGCTGTTGCTGCATCACGTGAGCACCAGGAACAAGCTCAGCTTTTCAAATACAGGCAAGATCCCGCATGGCCCAGCAGGCACAGCATGTGTGTGTAAACTTTGTATACAAGCAGAGAACAGGTGTGTTCAATTGCATTGACAGTGAACTTGGCATTTGCAGGGATTGACAGTACGCAGGAAGGGCTGCTTTGCTTGCATGCTAGTGCCGTGTCCTTTCACAGAAATAAGTAGGCACCTTCTTAGAGCATCATAGGTCAGAATGGTCACGTGTTTTGTCTAGGTGTGGTTTGTTGTTCCACTACTTGCGCACTGCATCAGTCCAGCATGTCTCATGAGCACCTGTGTTATGCACTGCCAATTGCAACAACAGCGCCATTGTTTCTGTTACCGGTCAGTAGCAGCTGTTGAAAGGGTGCACACAGGGCCGCCCATGGTCAGTAATGGGCAGGGCTTGGTGCTGTGCAAGCACGCAGCTTAAGCAGCTTGGCAAGCTTGCCAATTGGCTTTGCAAAGCACGCTCAACTTTGCTGGCCACCGATGTCACCCACTCCTAACATAAAAGAAGTTGCATGCCAAGCTGGCAGCACAAGAGTGTCATGCAACACCACTGCATCTGCCACACACGCTTATGAACCACATGCCACTCCGGAGCTTGGATCCAAGAGAGGGGGCCCCCCTCTGTCCAAGAGAGGGCGTCCCCCTAGAGAGGCCTCTGTACAGCCCTGTCCAAGCATGATCATGCTGATAAGCATCATGCTTCAAACAGTTCACTAAAACACTGTACCATGCATACAATAGATCTTCAGGACATACACCTGCTATGTCTTTTGCCAACGTGGCAAAATCTGAACAGACCGCGTGCATCAGGGTCACAAGACAGTCCGAGCTCGGACACATAAGGAAAAACAGGTGGCAAGGCAATCTTCAGCAAATTACCTGAAGGGTAAAGGAAATACTTCGAAGGGTAAAGGAAATACTTCCAAAAGAGCAGGAACAGGAGTAAGGAACATCATCTTCAAGTAATGCAGCAACACCTGTGCTCATGTGGCATGGCAAACCACATGCTGGTCCTGTGCTGTGCAAGCAATGCTGTGCGACTCTTTACACATGCGCAGTACATCCCACGCGCGCTGCAACATGCTGCTTGGCCAGCTGCCAACCACTCGCCGCGCAGTGCTGCAGCCACAGTAGCCGGCAAGGGCGCCCTCAACACTCCTGTCATGCTGGATGACAAAATTGCAACAGGCCATTACAAAACGATAAAGTACAACCAACACTTCTCCACGGCTGAACCTGTCGAATGAAATTTTCAACCCAGAAGCGGCTCCTAAAACAATAACGCACACTCTGCTGGGGCTGCCAGCAGTGAGGTGAAATCCATAATTACCCCGCACCACCAATCAACTTCTAGCTGGCAGCCGTACACAGCAGCCACGAGCGCAGGGCAAACAGCAGAGGCCTGACAGCTGTTGCCTGAAGGAGTACATGCACAGCACATTGCCAAGTTCACCATGCACTGCAGACTCACACACAGCTCCACAGGACTGCCACCGCCATCTTTGTACAGAGTTTGACAAATGTTTCCTAAAGACTGCGTGCATCAGGTCCCAAGACATCCTAAAAATCACACCAGGCCGCCGGTCTTGAAGCCATGTAGCAAGCTTGCCTTAAGGCAATTGCAATCTTTGGCAGCAAAGCAATCATCTACAGAAAGGTATGAGCAGGAGCAGGTGACAAAATCCCTAATGCTTTACTTTACTTGTTCAACTTTACTTTAATGCATTAGGATGCGGCAATGCTCGTGTGCATTGTGGCAAGGCAAACACAACATAACAGTAAGGCCTTGGCCTTAACTGCCCAACAGCAGCAGTGGATGCAAGGCGTTGCATACAAAACTGGCAATGCTAAGCAGAAACCAGCATACAAAACTTTTTAACAGCACCCCTCAACAGCGCTCCTCAACATTACTCTTCAACAGCGCCCCACAATTGAACAAAAACTTGGTGCACATCAAAACTACCGTCACTCAAACTACAGCCACTGCGCGCCCAGCAATGGCTGCCGACACAGCCGCTGGGCGCCCCGTCAAACATTTTGTGCCGTTAACCCTATTCTGATCAAGCAACAATGAGCTGGTGCACGAATTGTCATCATCATCATCATATTACCCATTCAAGCCATAGCATCAGCGCCATCGGGTGCTCAAGCAACAATGAGCTGGTGCACGAATTGTGCAATGCTGGCCACGCCTCATTTGGTGAAATGCCATGGCCATTTTGCTTATTGCGAGGGGGCTTGAGGCATGGCTATGGGGCCAAAGCAGCGCCGCTTGAAGCAGTCTGCCACAGTGCTTGTTATTGAAATTGCACGCTGTTATCCATGTTTGCCAAGCTGCTCAGCTTCAGGTGCGTAGGAGGCGCCTGCCTGTTTTGCCGGTGGCCGCCATCAGCAAAGGCTGCAGCAGAACCACACAGGCCGCCATCAGCAAAGGCTGCAGCAGAACCACACAGCAGCAGCACAAGCAGCGGCAGTACAAAGCAGCAACATTCGGCAGCACTCAGGGCGCATGGCCAATCAAGGAGCTGCTGCTGCTGCTGCTGCTGCTGCTGCTGCTGCTGTGGAGCTTGTTTGCAAGCACTTCCAGTTGAGCCTCTGCCTCACAGCAAGTAAGTGCATTTCTGGTTCACCGTTTTTCACCGTTTTACAAATCAAACGGCAAATTTGCGCTTCTTGTGCGTTGCAAAGAGTTTGAGGCAGCGATTTAGGCAGCTGTGGCATGTGGGGGATCACCATGCGGCACCCACCTTGTGCGAATTTCTCTGTCCCATCTTGCTCAGACCTGTACTCAACATCATCAGCAGGATTGTATTTGTCACACTCAGGTTTGATTGTGCAAGCAACACGATGGGGGTTTGCGCCTTCTGCTGTGGCTGGGTCGCTTGGCCCAGGCTGGGCTCCGCATGGGCAGCAATTGCCTGAGGGATGAGCAGCGCTGCGGCCTTGCCATCCTGCTGAGAAATGGCGGTTTGAATTGCAGTCGCAATGGCTTCCGCTTCTTCGTCCTTGGCGGTGGCTGTGACCGGCTGTGCTATGGAAAGCTGCGGTGCACGAGCAGCAGCCAGCAGAGCGCCAAAAGCACCCCCATGGCCTTGGCAGCTGGCATAACAACACCTCGTGCACTCAACCGATGCGTTGTAAATTATGATCTGAGGCGACGGCGGTGCTATCCGCGAAAGATCTCTCAGTGCAGCGAAGTCCAATGAAGCCGTCCGCAGGTGCTTTGCACAGGCGTCTGAGCGTGATCAACAACGCAAGAACAAACGAGCCTTAACGTTTACGAGCCTTTACGTCTGCATGTTACAAATGTTAGTGCACGCTCTGATGACAGCAGCCGTAATCGTGTTCAGGTGTTATCTTGCCCCTCGTTGTCGCACAGCCGACCACGCTCAGCTGTTTCACCCAGGACACTGCATTCATATACTTGCGCCACCACACGAGCAGTAGGGGAGTAACCGGCATGCACCTAGCATGTTCTGATGCTCAGTAGCCTGACGGCCAGGCTGCACTACAGCTGCAGCTGACATACCACAGGTGGCAGGTGCTGCACGTTTGCATGCTGACACAACTACCACTTACACACCACGCAACACCTGGAATCTAAACTTCACGCCTTATGTTAACTTCCAAGTTCATGCGATGCCTTGACAACAAAGCAGTGTCCACACAGAGCATAACATCAGCCGCAGGAGCATGCATCAATTGATTGCTTGCAAGCACACCAAACCTAGGTTACATACCCTGCAAGCAGACACCAACTGTCAAGCTCTGGCTCCTATGGCTGCTGCTGCTGCTGCTGCTGCTGCTGGCGCAAAATAGCATTTTCCAGTCACAGCTCTTCTTTACTTTTGCTGTCACCCCAACTGCCTCCTGATAGCTCTGCCATTGTCAGCGCCAGGGCGCTCACCCCGTTCCCAATATCCTCTTCTGAAGCAAACTCATCCGGTCGATGACTCCACCCCTCTCTGCAGGGTATGAAGATCATGCCCGTTGGCGCAATCCTGGCCATGAACAGCGAGTCGTGATATGCCCTGCTGACCATGTGCTTTGTGGACAACCCCAGCTGCTGCGCCGCTGCTG